ATATTAAGCCATCAAAATCCGTACTAGCGATACTTTTTTTCCGTACTCAAGAAAAAGTATCTCTGAAGGCCAGAAGAGAAAAAAGTATCCCACTGCACTTACTGGTATACTAAACCCTCAACTCCGCACGCAACATTCCGGTACGCCCAAATTCCCCAAATTCTAAACTCTCAAAACCCAGCCTGCCGACTGCATGCGGCCGCCGTGCATAGGAATGCAGCCAGCACCTGGCCAACTCTAGTCAGGGCTGAGGGGATAGGGAAATGGATCCTCAAAAGACCGCCTATAGAATTCTCTGCTGACTACTAGTAACTTCAGGGTGTAGGGCTCAAGGCGCTGCTTTTTGACACACTGGGGTGTCAGGTTTCGGCGGGGCTTGCTTGCTGCTCGGATCCCTGTGTGCAAGGTAACAACGAAATAGCCCGAGGTATGGGACTACGACCAAGGGCGTCTCTTGGCTTCTCCCCACGCGCCTGAGAAAGCGCAAGAACGCATCGAGGAAGAGTTCGTGGCCTGTCTCGTGATTTTCCCACCCATTGAAAACCTTCAGGGGCTCTGGGGATACAATCGGATGAGAAAATACTGTTGCTTCGTTGTTGCTATGATTCTGGGGATAGCCATTACAGCACTCAGGGCCCCTCCAGGTGCAGTCTGAGTCAAGCAGTCAAGCGTGCCAAGGCCAACAGGAAGTGATCGGCATCGGCCACATCTTGCAGCAGACTGTGCCTCACGAATGCGCACGGCGGCTGCTTACAAACTACAATTACTACAGTTTGTAGCCGCCAGCACGAACCGCAGTGGTAGGAGCAGTAGCAGTAGTGGCAGTAGTAGTGCTCGTCGTCGTGCTTATAGCAGCAGACAGTTTTTGGTGCAGAAGAATGGCGAACTCTTGCACATACTTCTATGGCAGATGGTTGTGCCCTACATCAGCGTGATGCTGAGCATTCCTTGGGACTCAATAACTCACGCTCTGCCTAGGAGTTTCCAAAAGGGAGTCAAGAAATGAACTCATCCCTTTGTACCCCAGAATATCTTAAAGTTCATCGGGGTAGTATGGGGCCTGCCACAAATGGGACCCCTAATTTTGGGAACTCTCCCTACATGAGCTATGGTCTAAACTCCTGGTGTCCCGCTTAATTGCCCCTGTATAACCCGCTTGAAAGAGTTTAGAACTTTTTGAACCCAGAACTGAATCCTGACAAAGTGGGAGCCATGCCGCAACAGCAGAAGCAAGACCTAAACCCTAAACCCTAGCCTCATATCAGTCTGAACCGAGGAATTCTGCCAGGCCACCCGCTCCAAGCCCAGGGCTTTGAGGCTTCACCGGGGCCGTCCTGCTGAACTAAGGAAAAAGCAGGTCAGGTTGGAAAGGGGGTTACATGTTATGTGGGAGACATGAGCGTACATATATATATATATATGTATAGGAGCAGCTACCTAAATCATTAGTAAACAGCTAAGTAAAAAATCGCTTTGGGGGGGAGCCTATCGCTTTACAGGCTTTTTGCGCACTGCTGTCATCCATTTCGGGGGTATCTTTGGGGGAGGCCCTATCGCTTTACTAGGGTTTGCTTATGTCCCTGAATTTTATCTCTGCCTGCTCTTGGCTCCTACGCGATAATAAAAGCGGTCGCTCATAAATAAATATATATATACATAAATAAATAAATATATATATATATATGTATAGACCGATCTATCTATGTATACATGCAGTGCACGCACACAAAGGCATATATACATATATGGGTACAGGGGTATCCCCCCCCCTGCATTTCGTACACTTTCCTTATAACAGTATGCAGTTTAAACATAATGTTATATTACA